ATGTTACTATATATATGGATTTATTTCTGGGCTTTCTATTCTGTACATTGATTCATGTGTCTGTTTTTATGCCAGTACCATATTGTTTTAATTTTTGTTGCCTTACAGTACTGTTTAAAGTCAGGTAATATAATATGTTGACTTCTCTCTTTTTTGGTCAGGATTACTTTTTCTATTTGAAGTCTTTTATGATTCCATATACATTTTAAAAGTACTTTTAATTTTCTTCAAAGAATATTGTTTGTATTCTAATGATTGTGTCAAATTCATATATTGCTTTTAATAGAATAATCATTTTGATTATATTGATTCTCTCCATTTGTAAGTGTGCAATGTCTTTCTACTCCTTATGTTTTAATCTAAGTCCTTTAATGACATAGGTTTCATTGTATAATTATTTACTTCTTTAGTTAAGTTAATCCCTCATATTTTTTTTAATGATTACACATGGAACTATTTTCTTAATTTCTTTTCCTTCTCATTTGATGTTTGCATATAAAAATGCAACACATCTTTGTGTTGATTTTGTAACTTGCTTCTTTTCTGTACTTTTTTTATTTCTAATAACTTTTGAGTGGAGTCTTCAGAGTAGAGTCTGTCTTCTTTTCCATCTTGTGCATGGAGCTTATTTCCTGTTGTCTGGTTAATACTAAATTTAGCTAAAGTGTAACAGTGAACATCCTTATCTTGTCTCTCATCTTAAAGGGAATGCTTTCAGTTTTTACCATTAAGTATTATGTTGGCACTAGGTTTGTGGCATACAATCTTTATTATAATGAACTGGCTTCCTTATCTTATTTATAGCTTTTATCATAATAAAATGCTTTCTCTACATCTATTGATGTTATCATGATTTTTATGGTCACTATACTTTATATACTACATTACATTGATTTATGTGTATTCAACCATCCTTCCCTTCCTTGAGTTAATCCCACATGATCATGATGTATAATCCTTGTAGTATATTGTTGAGCATGTTTTGCATCAATATGCATTAGAGATATTGGCTTTTGATTTTCCTGTGCTGTCTTTCGCTGGTTTCAATATTAAGGTAATGTTGGCATTGTAAAATGTATTGTGGGGCATTCTCGCTTCTTGCATATATGGAAAAAATTGAGTGAGATGGGTATTGGTTCTTCCTTACAGGTTTGATAGAATTCATTATAAAGCCAGCTGGCCCTGGGCTTTTGTTTTGTGACGAGAATTGTCATGCTGTTTCAGTTTCCATGATTTTGATCAATTTATTCACTTCTCTATTTCTTCTTGGTTTTGTCTTAGTAAATTATATTATTCTAGAAATTTGCCCATTCCTCCATGGTTATTGGATTTGTCAGCATATAATTGTTCATAGTAATGTCTCATGATCCTTTGAATTTCTATGCCATTTGTGGTCATTTCTCCTCTTTCATTTCTAATTCCATTATTTAATGTTCTCTCTCTTCTTTTTTATTTTTGAAAATCCATGTTGGAGACATCCTAGCTCCTGAATCACCTAAGACCATCTGGTCCCCGAGCAGGTCATTTGCTGTGTACCTTAGTTATGTGTCACTTTCCTGGAGCATTCCCTCTAGTCGAGCTTGGTGCTCAAGAGAAGCTTGTGTGCTTCAAGGTGGAACCTGAATTTAAATAAAATGGCTTGCTACAGAATTTATTCCGTAAGAAGCCCACTCAGTGAGGTGTACAGTTCTTCTAATACGGTAATATTAGGGTAATTTAATATTCCACTTACAATAATGGATTGGTCACTAAGATAGAGGCTAACTAAAGAAACAATAGCAGTCTATGGCCATACCACCCTTAATGTGCCCGATCTCGTCTGATCTCGGAAGCTAAGCAGTGTCGTGCCTGGTTAGTACTTGGATGGGAGACACAATAGCCTTAAGTGACGAGCTAGCGCAATTAGACTGGACATCTACAAAACATGCCACCAAAAACTGCTGTATATACATGTTTTGCCCCAATGCACCTTAACATATTTAGGAGACTTTATGTTGGGACATAGTCAATAAAACTGAAATTATAGCTGTTACTTCTCTGACCATAATGTCAAAAACTAGAAATCAACTATTTAAATAAAAAAAAAAAAACAATGAAATACAAAAAAATACTGGGAACTAAACAATATGTTGCTCAAGCACCATTGGATTAAAGAAATTAAAACAGAAATAAAAAATATCTTGAGGATAATGAAATCAAGGATACCAGCTGTGGGAAAGAAACACTAAGATGCAGCAAAAGCAGTTTTAAGAGGCAAGATAATTGTAACACAGACCCACAGTAAGAAACAAGAAAAAATCAGAGTAAACAGTATTACACTTAATGCAACTTGGAAAATGGAACAAAAAGGAACTAAAATTAGTAGGACAAAGGAAATACTAAAAATAAGAATGGAAATAAGTGAAATAGAGAAAAACTACAAAAAGATCGTTGAAATTAAGTTGGTTCTATGAGAAGATAACAAAATTAATAAACCGCTAGTTAGGCTAAAAAAGATGGAATTTTAAAGGTCAAAAATTACGGAATTCGATTCCTTTAAACTCTGGGACACTTGCCTTCCTTCTCCTCCTTATCCATAACAATATAGGAGGGGGAAAGAAGGCTTCTCCGATCCCTGCAGTACCTGAGATGTGGGAGTGACTGACTAGCAGACCCAGGACTGTGCACACCACAGTGAGTCTCTGCAGCAGCCCCTAGCCTGAAACAAGCTCTGACACTCAAAAGTGAAGCCTAATGCTTTCATCCTTTCTTATTATTGATGTAGGTGCCCACAGGACCCCTTTGCTTGAAACACTTATAAACCTCACAATTTTGGCACATCAAAAATATAGCACACTCTCTTTCCAACCGCAGAAATAGGACCTCTTATTACACAACTCAGGGTGCCATGCCAGACATCTGGCTGTTCTGCCAAGTTCTTCACTTTCTACTAACCAAAGGATTGGATCCGCAGTCCTGAACCTGCAAGCTCTCAAGTCAGCCTGCTTCTTAGACTGCACTCTCACATCCCTTGTCCAGTTATCCAGAGTCTCACCCTGCTCACTAGGATTATTCACCCATTTTGTCTGCCTTGTCTTGCTCCCTCCAGTCCATATCCCACACAGTTATCAAAACGTACATCACACATCACTGCTTGGTTTCAAACCTTCCACTGACAGCTTGATGCAACAGAATTTCCAAGTTTCTTGATTCCTGTGTCCAGGCCTGATGGGGTCAGCCTCCCCCACCTCCACCCCAACCACATCTCCTCATATATCAGACTCCAAAAGCACAACTGAGGTTCTGTCAGAGCCCTTCCTTGGGCTGCCTCACAGATATTCCCTGGAACTCACATCCCTCCCATCCTCACTTAGCTAATTCCTACCTGAGTCAAGGCTCAACTCAGGTGTCACCTGCTCCTAGAGGCCTCTGTTCTTCCCCATCCCAATGCCATCAAGAGTGGATGCTATTTCTGTACAACTTTAATAGCACATCTTGGCCCCTGTCACAGTCACCTTTTCTTGAGGTATAATTTTAATCAAGTCCCATATGTCAAGTTGTATGGAGTTCTGAGTCCCTCTCTCCTTATCACAGTGGCCTTTAAACCTCTTAACTCAAAAACCACACTTTGGTCATCCTTGCTTTTCTTTGGTATCTGATGGTGCCTGGCACCTAGTGAGTATCCCATAAATGTTGACTGAATGTAGCTGAAAAAGTAAATTCACCTTTCTCTTTAAAGGGAAATAATGGGATGAGGCTGGAGTTCTGCCCCCATGAAAGCTGGTGTGGTCTTTGTTTGTTAACATACACCTATTCTTAACTCTGCATCTAAGCTGCAGGCTGTGCCCATCTGAATCTCTGGCACATCAGTTCCAAGTGTAACAGAACTCTTCTCCAAGGGTTCCATACGTTCCCTAGCTGTATCTGCTCTGAGCAGTAAATTATAGCAAATTCAACTTAAACTGGCTTGAGTGTATAAGGAGGTTTCTTGGCTCAGCTACTAAGAAAGTCCAGAAACAAGGTAGACATAAGGCAAGGCCCAGTCAGGGCTCTACTCTCATTGTTTTGGTTGTTCCCTTTTTCTGCCTGTTGACTTCACCCTCCAACTTCCAACTGAATGACTGCAGAATAACAAGTCAGGGTCATAATGGCACCATGAAGAAAGGAAGTCATACCTAAAGAATGAGGGTTCTGTTTTCCCAGAATATTCTTAGTAAATCTCCCCTCATCTCCTCATGTTTTATTGTACTCAGTTGAGCAATGTTGCTATCTCTGAGACAACCCCATTGCCTGGGAAATTCTGTAAATTGTTTGAGTGATAACTAGCATCCTTAGAGTGATCAGGCCATCTCTTCTGGAACAGGGATGCTCCCCTTAAAGTGTGTGCGCTACCTTGGGGAGCAGTGGGTGCAGGTGCAGAGTCTAGGGGAGAAAATGACTCATTGCCTGCTGTGCTGGGCAGTATTTATTCTACCCTTAAAATCCTCCTTTTCTGGTTCCTGATGGGTTAAGTAGAAACCCTTTAGTTGTGAGGCTGTGGAATTATAAGAAAAGCTGATTTGTTCAGAGTCAGTTCAACAAGTGTGTGTGGCTGTGTAAGCAAGATAGAGATATGTTAGGATGCTCTGTTGCTTCCAGAAATGGTTTCTCTACTCCCCTAGTGCATTAGGGAATGGATAAAGCTATGAGCATGTTCCCTTAGCACCTGTCCCTAAAGTAAGCATATGGCCTTTTAAACCTTTCTGAAGGTTTTTACAAATATGATGATAGATAGCTTTCTCCCTCACTTCCCTGATATTCTTGCTGATTTCCTCCCTTCCCCTTAGGTTCTATGGAAAAACAAAGGCTGATGCTGGATGCTTATGCTAAAAGTGAGGTGGGTCACCCTGCCTCATGAAAAGATGACTGCTTCTCACTGGCATCCACAGGAGGATTCTTTCATTTTTTAGTTCCAGAAGCTCTGAAAGTTTTGTATTGGTGAATGTATTATTACCCTTCTGATTCCTTTTTGTCCTCTCTAGATGTTCGACTGGATAAGCCACAACAAGGAGTTATTCCTCCAGAGCCATACAGAGATCGGAGTCAGCTACCAGCATGCCCTAGACCTGCAGACGCAACACAACCACTTTGCCATGAACTCCATGGTAAGTGGAGGCTGTTCTCACCATTGCCTCTGGGGACAGGCCAGCGGTGAGGGGAGCCCTTGGGGCGCAGGAGTGGGGAGCAGAATCAGACTTCCAACCTGAGTAAGAAGGAGGAACTCTGAGTTGCAGGTCTTTAGTTCTCCATTTGCCAGGATGTGGACCCCAACCAGCTGTTCCTGTGGCAGATTATGTCCCCATTTCTGCTTCACGTGGTGAAAGGAATGTGCTGGGCTCATAGAAGGCATGAACTCAGCACAAGACTAGAAGGGATAGTCACCAGTTCACTCTGCTGACACAGTCAGCACTTTTGTGTTCCTAGCACATGTGAGTCACTGAGCTGGGAAACTCAGACGACCATCTAAGACACGCTGGAAACAGTTGAGTGATGAGGTCTGTTTAAATTGGGGAAAGGAGTCTTTAGGGACATCTGAATGCTAACTTCAAACATGTGAGAAAGGCTACTTGGAGAGAGGAGAATGGAATTGTTTTGTGTTCATCTAGGAGGCACTGTCCAGGAGATGGGGCTGCCAGGGGAGGCTGACTTGGGAACGTGGATGTGTCTGGAAGTAAAGGGAGTGTGCATACACTGAACACAGAGAGATATTTGCTAGCTGTGTGGCCAAGGAAATTTACCTTTCTCTGCTTTAGTTTCTTCATCTTAAAATGGAAATAACATTGGTCATCTATAGAGTTGTTATTAGGATTCATTGAGATAATTGGAAAGAGATTGGAGTTTAGCATTGTAAAATTGATTGATTGATAGTAAATTACCAGTAAATGTTGATATTATAATGATGAGGATGTCAGAGGCTAGTCCAGATAACACCTCATAAACCTAACATTTGGGGATACAGTTTTGTTCAGGTGGTCACCCTAAGAATTCATTTCAAAATCTTGTCCACCCCTTGAAAAGACTGTTTTTGAAATGCCTGTAGCTCAAGTGTGTTGCAACATCTCTCAATTTTCTGCCAATTCTTTCTGCTTGTACTATGTGTCCAAAAGAATGGCTCCACCCTTTCCCATATATATCAACAACAGAGATGTCTTATCATTTCAGCAGGTGATTCTTTGAAATTTAGATTAACATAAACATGAAAGACTGAGATGAAGAAGGAGGTGAATTAAATCTTTTACCAACTTGTTTTCAACATGCTATCCACCGGACTTAAAGTGCTGAGGAAGGAATAGTCTAGCCTCAAGTTTTTTCAGTGTCTGGTTGGGGAGATAACCCAGACAATTTGGGATAGCTTGATCATAGAGATGTGCTGAGGTATCTTTAATATGTCAGTGATTTAAAACAATAAAAGTTTATTTCTTGCGTCTTCTGCAAGCTCATCACTGGCTGGTGGTCAAGTCACAGTCACTCAGGGACCCAGGCTGACAGAGCAGCTACTGTCTCAGATGCTGCCTGTGGTCTTGGCAGACAATGCAAATAGCCAAGTATAGGCTGGATCTGAAACATTCCACTTAGAAGGTGCATGGGCCATGTTAGCTCACTTTTCATTAGCCAACACGGCTGCATCTAATTTCATGGGTGGAGGTATATGGTCCTACCACACACTAGGGAGAAGAGTGGGATGTTCGTGGATAACCTTGATGACTAGCACAGGGAACCATGACAGGGTAGAAAGTAGAGATAAACAGAATGAGATATCCATAGAAAGAAAAATTCTGGTTGCAGAATATAAGATTATGGGGTCATCAGGGAAAAACATCGACATTGATTTTGTTATCAACTTTAGCCACAACAGTCTTGTGTCTTCATATAAAGACCCATTCCCTTCCACCTTATCTCCTATAATTATGTTTCACTCCTGACTCACTGTAGTCACAGAGGAGCGAAGCAATTGATCATAATTGATTAAGAACATAAATTAAAATCTAGCCAAGTTTGATTATCTGTGTGCCTTGTGGGTTTCGCTTAGTGAATGTACAAATTCTATGCTGGAATCTTCATGTCACTCAGCTGCCTGTCCCTCAAGCAGACAAACTTTCTTTAATAAGAAGCAAAGACAGACTTTTTGGAAAGTAAGTGCCTTCAAAACAATGAACTAGAGAGCTAAACAGAAAGAGCCTTTGGCTTTGAATTATCTACACCACTGCTCTTCTGTGTTAGTATGGATAGCCGAGAGTTAATGTACATCAAAATGCGCCCTCTGACAAATTTACTTTTGACGTGTCCATTTTCAAGGAAAAAAAAGTAACTAGGGTGGAAATTTACTGAAAGGAATCATCTTCTGGAGCTGAGAGAGAGGGAAGAAGAGATTATAGCACAGTCAATTAGTCTGTTCCAGCCCAGCCTAGACTCCCATCTCTGTGAATACCACGTGAGGTCTCTTTAGTCTGACTAAGCTGGATCTCCTCTCTGGCTGCAGAGTGAAGAGAGGGAAATCCCAGAGTTGTGTGATCAAATTGCCTGAGCACAGGAGCTTTATAAATGCAGCCTCATGCCTTTGTTAATCGGGAGGTTTACAGGTTTGCTATTAAAAGGAACTTCCACAAAGAGGGGTGTCAGCATCTCAAACAGGTGAAAGGGGAGGGAATTATAGACTCCTTTTCTCTGGCCTGAGTTATGGATGTTGCTGCCTAGAAACAGATGAATGTAGGCATCTACTGCTGGGGTCCATGACACTAGGAATGATCAGTTCTTCTGAAGAAGTGGGAAAGTGGATTGTTCTGTAAATTAACCAGGGCATTTCTGTTTTGATTCTTGGGAGTTACACACATGCCTATACAGATACCTGCACATCTGCCGGCATATAGCTACATGTAGCACATCGTGTTTCTTTGGTATTAAATCCTGTGTTACTACTGAGTAGGCCAGTGAGCCCTTTTGGGAGAGGTCACAGGTCCCTTGCAACTCTAAGAAGGTTGAAGGTCCTCTTTCCCAAGATGTGTGTGTGTGTGTGTATATATACTCCAACAATTTTTTATGGAAAAGGGATTCTTAAAACCTACCAATCAACCTCTGTAACTGAAGATCTCAAGAACCTCATGACTTCTTTTTGGGCATACAGAACTGGGGCACAGGCCAAAGGTGCAGGGACAGTGAGAGGATTCACCAGAGACAGAGTGGGGAGTAGAACAGGCAGATTGACTAAGTACATGGCTGAGGGGTGCAGCGGGCATGTCAGGAGAGGTCTGCTGGTCATGTGGATCACCTCTGCGCCAGGGATCAGACTTGCATTGAAGTAGCTGCTGCTAGCTTGCAGTGCTGTGCTTTAACCCATTGCACCACCAGGGAGGGCCCTCATGTCTTCTTTATCACTCATTCAGTAAATACTTGTGCATCGGTCATTGTGTTGGATGTGGGCATACAATGAAAAGAGCAGACATGATTTGTCCCATAGAGAATCCCCTGGAGAGATAGAAGCTAATCTCACAAATTAACCCTTAATTTCAAACCAACAAATCTTATGTTGAAAGAGAAGGGAGTGCTGTGATGCTCCATTGAAATAAGGGGGTGTCAAATGTTTTTCAGTTGACAGCTTGACTTAACATTCTCTACCCATTTATTGATGGCAATTGATGATCTTTGGTTGTGTGCAAGTCAGACCAACTTCAGCAAAACCTGTGATGCTGAAGAACTTAGAATTAAGAAACTCTGGGTCTATCATTCTATAAATGAAAATGTTCAGCATATAAAAACTTACCTTTTTTTTTTAAGTTTTGTTTTCCCATGTCTAGTTTTACAGACTAATTAGAAATCAAACTCAGCTTAGGTGTCCATTGCTGAGAAATAATTGCACATTATTAAGCCTTGGAGGAAAAATCACAGTTTTCTAAGTTCTGTCTATAAACTGGTACCACTAATGGCCATCGATTATTAATACACCAAGAGTGTAAGAGCAATGCCCTAGGGATGATAGTA